TTTAGGTACTATCACTGATTCAACTGCACCGTCTTGTTCTACTGCTAGAGGTTTTCAAAATTTCCAAATTTGGAAGATGGACGCATGGTGGATAGTCATTATTCAATAGTTAAATTATCAAATTTCCGTTCACTTATGTATAAAAAACTTTTGGACAAACAGTGGCAGTCTGTTTCAATATTTGAGTTTTTGAGAATCTTGTCACGGACAGGCAGCCAGTTTCATATAAAATCCAAAAATACCCTCTCTCAGGGTGAAATTTTCAAAAATAAAGAAATAGACTGACGGACATGCATTAATGGCCAATTCGCTGTATTTATATATATATCTGTATGTATGCATTACACGTAAGTGGTATATGGCTGACCAAATACGGATTAGAAAATGTGTAGGGTATTTTCGAAAAAGCTCATCGTAAAGTCTGGTAATTTTTCAATCATTTTCTCAAACTGCTTGCAACATTCGAACGAAAGCGTCAGAGACCCTTTAAAGTTCTTGATACGAAATCGAATTAGGTAAATCTGTATATCCGTATGTTCGTCTGTCTGTAATGAACTTTTTCCTATTCGCAGCACTGAGGACATTGGACTTAAATTTGACAGCAAGATTGGAAGTTCTTGCAGGCCGGTTGGTGTTTAGAACGACCCAAATCGGCTGAAAGTACACGCTCCCAATGCAAGGCGAAGTGAGAACATCTCCCTTTTCAAAAGCAAAAAATGGGATTTTTTTGCTCAATAATCTTAAGCTACTGTAGATCTAATGATAAAAATTTCTTCGTTATATTTCAAGGGAGATTCTAAAGTGGTTGTGTAAGAATGAAAAAATTACTCACTCCCATATAACATTACAGAGTATCAATTTTTTTTTTTTAGGAAGTGTAGGGGATACGAGAAGTTCTGCTTGTTATCTTATTCTTAATTGTCTTAATTTATTTCCATTTGTTTTATTGTTGCAATTAAATTCTCGTAAATTTTCCAAATTTATAGGTTGAGATATTATTAACAAAAACCAAAAACCAAAAGAAAAAAACATAAAATGTTAGAAGATTCTATTCAGCTTTAGGCAAGTTTCTCGTCCCCATCGTCAGCGTGCAAGAGCTTTTGATTATTTTTGTCAAATTTCAAGTCGATGTTATTTGTCATCAGCATAATGTTTGCCACAGACAGACTTACGGACGAAGGGACTGACATGCCTTGAATCGATCCAATATATACGTGCTTTTTATAGCGTGTCTATGAAGCTTCCCTTAGTTTGTTGCAAACGTTCCGTTAATAGGAATATATCTCCCCATGTTTCGATGGCGAGTTTTAAAAGAAAACATTTGTGTGCACACACCTATGCAACATTTTGATCATCTTTACTTAAAAACAGCTTTCTCCGTAATATTAGTGGGAACTTTTTCTTCCATACATTGTTCTTCGCTTCAATAGTTTTTCTAATTAAGAAATAAAAAACATTTAGTCGTAAACTATTGGGAAGTAATAACAGTTGAACCAAATGTGACATTTTTGCATATTAAATATATACTTTTAAAAGCGTTAGTCCATGAATATATTGTACGACCATAGGAGTGGACTTAATACCAGTCATGGCAGTCATATAAAATAGAATTATTACATACATGCATATCTCGCAGAAGCAATGACGTAACCGCCAAATGAAGAGCGATAATGTAACGTCCGTCCGTTTTATAATTTCAAAACTAAACGTAAATAAAGCACATCTCTGATTAAGATTTGGATCAAATTTTAAAAACTTTTCACAAAAAGGATGAGGGGTATATTCATTTCGTCCAAACGGTTGCAACGCCCAGAAAGAAGCTTCGCACACTTCACAAAGCGTACATATTCTTGATCAGCACCAAATTCCAAATCGATTTAAGCATGTTCGTCTGTCTGTCGGTCCATCTGAATGTCTAATGTAAACATTCTCTTGGTCGCAAAAATGAAGCTATCGACCGAAAATCGGACAAATGTATTGGAAGTTCTCGCACGCTGTTGGGCGTGGAAAATGGTCCAAATCAGACAAAGTAGACGCCCACAATACCACGTAAACTGAACGTATATCTGTTTTTCAAAAACCGACAAATGTACAAAAATGTACATATTGTACGGGCAATGCTGCGGTGCCTGTACAAATATTGGCCACGCCTATCCACTATTATACAGTATATTAAAATAAAATTTTTTTCTCAATACCTTTATAAAGTGCAGAAAAGTACATAAATTCTTGGCCAATTTCGAGTTTGGAATGCATCATGTCCATGTCCATGTGTTCGTCTGTGCATCTGTCCATCTACTCAACTGTGTAGTATTTATGGTAAACATTTCTTTCGTTAGCGAAACCGCAGATAGCGGGTACAAATTCGCAAAAGAATTTGGAAGCGGTATTAACTTTTCCAAGGACACGGGTACGCGGCAAAAACTTCTATTTTGAAAATGGAAAAAATCAGCCGCACCCACCCGCTATTATAGAGCGTGAATATTTGGGTTATTTTACTTTCTTTGCCTCTTTTAGGACAACGATGTTGGGTATAAAAGATTCGATCACGACCGAATATAATTTTCTTACTTGTAACTATTGTGATTTTTATACCGTCCACCACTTGTGGTGCAAGTGTCTATTAAGTTTGTGTGGATGTAGGCAACAATCAGAAAGACTTGACACAGACTGACTTTGGATGATAATATACCGATCGATTCGGAAAGTGATTCTCTTGTCCGTTTGTCCGTCTTGTCTTCTCGGTTCAATGTACAGGCTGCAATTATTGAGATATTTTGATGAAATTTGTTACAACGGCATGTTTTGGCCCAAGAAGTAGCGCTATCGAAAACGACCCGGATCGGACGACTTTCCCGACCATTTCCCATGTAACACTTTACTTTGAAAAGTCGTTATATAAATTATTGCATTAAGCGAAGTGGTGCAGAGTACTTACTGGTGGGCCGCGCTCCACTGTAGTGTTTTTACTGCAATAACAAACAATGGATTCGTTCCACTTTCAAAATAAACGACTCTTATACACGGGCACATGCACATATGCATAGATATATATATAATATTTTGTCAATATTAAATGTTTTTTTCTAAGCTGACTCACTGACAGTGTTTTATATTTACACAACGATGTTTGTACAATATTTTCTATATTTCCTCAGCGAAGGATGGCTAACATTTTAATACGTGATTTATATATAGATGATTTTTATGTCTTTTAGAGGTTATCAGCTTCTGAATCACATACGCCCTCAAACTTAATATACGCCGAACTTGACGATTCTTCTTATTTCGAATTTTCATAAGGAACCGACCGTAATAGGCAATTAAGATTGCGCGCTGATCAAAATTGTTGGCATTTTATTAGAAGAATGAACAAAATATATTCTCATTCTTCTCACGACGATAGCAAAGCAGGCCTTATTGTGTATGAAAGACGATCTCTTAGGGCTTCGGGTATATATAATAGATAGCATTAATCGAATTTATTTAAACAAACTCAATTTCTGTCTCATCTAATACTGACGAATTTGAAAAAATTTTTAATTCACTTACATGAAATTGAAAACGAATTCAGGAAAAAAGGTAGCAATAACGAGATATTGGGTGTAAGATAAATATATGCCTTTTTACAACCGAGAAGGTAATTAATAATTTAGAATATAGAATAAAACTGTGACCTCTTCATTTGAACATACCCTGTTTAAAATATACGCAACTGCATAAGTTATCGAGAGAAATTTATAGCTGCAGATGGCGCGTGCTTGCTTTTTCTAATTAACAAAAACGGCCCGAAATTATATTCACATGTCCAAGGAAAGAACTAATCTTGGATTTTTCCGTCCTTAATTTTGTATATACATACATCGCATGAAATACAAAACTGGAATCCTATTGCTGGGCGAAAATTCTTTCATTCTTTGCGTGCCAGCCACGCCCGGCTTTTGGCGGCTGACAGCGAAACGATTGATTGTTCAACCTAACATTTGATGGATGCGAAAATGATGCATTTAAAGCTTTTCATGACGAGACTTATTGCCTAGGATTTTTTAAGGCACTAGTGCAAGATAAGCAAAGCAAAGCCACCCGATAAGCTTTACCGAGATCTACTGGGCTTAAATTTCTTTTACAAAAACAAATTATTATTGAATTCAACGTAGGGGACTTGAATAACAGGTCTTGACTGTGCGAACAGCATTTTTGTTGGCCAAATGTTCAATCGAGCCGAACTTTAATCAAATACAACATACACATATATTCGTTTCAATTTTTATCTCTACGAGTTAAACAGGCAACCGATCCCACGGTACTGAGCATAATGACTAATCGATTAGTGAGAAGAGCACGCTATAGATAATCAATTGTTTTCTATTTTTTGCTTAAATTTTTAGGCAAACAGATAATGGACATTTGAACCGTTCCCGTTCACAAATGTATAAACAATTCAAACACTCTTCGCACAAGCAAGCAAACAAACATATATATATATATAAACAAACAAATATATATATATAATATATATATAATATATATATATATATGTAATCAAATAAATAATCATCCACTTTACTCTAAATAATATTTAAAAATAGCAAACAAATTATTTACATATAAATTAGTTACAGTGAAGGTGCAAATTGTTTTATTTACATTTGAACAACTATAATAACAAAAGAGCGCTTACGTTATGTGTGAATAGATAGATATATATGTATGCATGTATAAGTATGTAAGATGTGTCTTAATGAAATTCTATTATAAAAAAGAGCAAAGTGCACAAACAATCAAGAAATTAATACGAAAAAAAAAAAAAAAAAAAAAAAAAAAAAAAAAAAAAA